AATACTACATGAAATGTAGTACAGGCTCAATGCAGTCTACATGAAATGACCTACAGGCTCAATACAGTCTTTATCAAAATTCTAATAACCTTTTTGTTTGGAAGTAGAAAAATCCATCCTAAAACTTCATACAGAATCTTCAAAGCACTCTAAATCTCAGTCACTTTTGAAAAAGAAAACAAGTACAGGACTTGTATAATTTCAAAGCTTACTACAAAGACATGGTAATCAAAATAGTGTGGAACTGAAATAAAGACATACAGCTGGACCAATGGAATATAATGGAAAGCCCAGAAATAAACTTTCATATGGCTGGGATTGAACTCAGGGCCTCAAGCATACTTGGCAAGTGCTCTACCACTGAGCTACATCCCCAGCCCTCAAATGACTTTTGGCAAAAGTAAAAACCCCATTCAATGAGGAAAGCATGATCTTTTCAACAAGTGGTGCTGTGAAAAACTGTATATACACATGCAGAAGAATGAAGCTGGACCCTTTTCTAATCCTATACAAAAATTCACTCAAAGTGGACCAAAGATCCAAATGTAAAAGCTGAAGGCATGAAACTCTTGGAAAACTTCATGAAAGACTTGGTAATGATCCTTGCACATACCACCACAGGCACCAGTAAGAGAAGGAAAAAGACAAATTTAAAGGCCTTTACGTATTAAAAGGCACTAGGCAGCTGACAGAATGGGAGAACATTTTTGTAAATTATACATCTCTTAAAAGATTAATATCCAAAACATAGGTTCTTACAACTCATTAACAACAACAAAATCCACTTCAAAAATGGATAAAGAAACTGAACAGACATTTTCCAAAAGAAAGTGACCAATAACCACATGAAAAGATGTCCAATACTTAGTCACTAGGGAAATGTGAATGGAAGCTACAAGACACCACCTCACACCTCCCAGGAAGACCACTATCAACACACCAGAAAGTAACCAGTGTTGGTGAGGACAGGGGAAAACTGAACCCTTATGTACTGTTGCTGGGAATGTAAAATGGTAGCTGCTGATTGAGACAGTTTGAAGATTCCTCAAAATATTAAAAATAGAAGTGCCAAGTGATCCAGCAATGCTACTTCTTGGCATATCTTTGAAAGGATCAAAAGCAGGGACTTAACAGCACCTGCCTGGCAAGCATGAGGTCCTGAGTTTGATTCTCAGATTAAAAAAAAAAAAAGCAGGGACTTAAAAGGGTTATTTGTTGTTGTTGTTTTTTTGGTACCTGGACTCAAACTCAGGACCCTGCACTTGCCAGGCAGGTTATTTGTGCCACTTAGCTATATCCCTGGCCCAAAGGGGTATTTGTTTATCACAATATTGTTACACTAGCAAAATATATTAAGAACTAGAGTGCCCATCAATGGATGGATAAACTAAATGTGGGCTGTATATACAGAATTATTTAGCCTTAAAAAGGGAAGGAAATTCAGATGCATGCTGCAACATGGAGGATCCTTGAAAACATCAAGGGAGACAAGCCAGCCAGAGATGGCTACTGTATCATGCTTGAGGTAATACAGTGTCAAATGCATAAAGATAAAAAGTAGAATGTTGGTTTCCAGGGCCCAGGGCCGGAGTAATGAGGAGCTATTGCTGAGTGGGGACAAATTTCAGTTTGGAAGATGTTACGTTCAGACTGAGACGTCGCTTTGTTGATAGCAGATGGGATTTAGGGGAGTGACTGGGTCCCCAGGGCTCTAACAAGTGGGTTAACCCACTGATGAGATTGGAATTTGGTGGCATTACTGGGAAGGGACAGAAACGGGACATAGGGCCTCACTGAAGAGAGTGGATCGTGGAGCTGTGACCCTGGGGACTTTGTCTGGTCCCCAGCCCCTCCCTCTCTGGCTTTCTTCTTTCTGCTTCCTGGCTGCCTAAGGTGAGCAGCCTTCCTCCACTGCATCCTCCTGCCGCGGTTCTGCCTCACCACAAACCAACAGCAACTAAGCAGCTGCTCCTGTAGGGAAACCTCTGAAAGCGTGAGCTGAAATAAACTCTTCCCCTCTCCGTTGTTTATCTTAGGCGTTTGGTCATGACACAAATGAATACATAAGACGAGAGGAATTCTAGAGACAGACAGTAGTGATGGCTACACCATATTATGAATGTAGCTTACGCCACTCAACTGTATACTTAAAAATGTTCAGTTTTTATACTTATGTTACAGTTTTTATACTTAAAATGTTACAGTTTTTATACTTATACAGTTAAAATGTTTTATACTTACACAGTTAAAATGTTTATACAGTTAAAATGTTACGGTTTTTACACTTAAAAACTGTATACTTAAAAATGTTAAGATGGTAAGCTTTGTTATGTGAAGTTTACAATAATAAACACATCAGAGATAAAAAGGAATGGAGTTCTTATACATTCCACAATATGAAGACATACTAAGTGAACTAGGTGAGTCATAAAAGACCACATACTATGAGATTGCATCCAAAGACCCACGTATAATCAAACTCACAGATAGAGAAAGCAGAAGGGTGGATGCCAGGGTTGGGGGAGGTGAAACGGGAAATTAGTGTTTAATGGGGACAGAATGCCTCTTTGGGAAGATGAAAACTTTCTGTGAATGGAAGGTGACATTGCATAACTATACGGATGCGCTTAATTCCACCCAAATCCTTTATATACATAAAAATGGTTAAAGTGGCACATTTTATCATATATGTATATATATGCCTTATCATACAAAGTACTTAGTAAGAATCCAGAATGTTTGAACACAGGAATAGTTGGTGTGGCTGGAGCCCAGGTTCAGGGTGTAGACTCTACAAGGCCCTGGGGTCATATTTGGAGTCACTAACTTTGTCCCAGAATAGTGTAATTCCATGGAAAATGGATTGGAGGAGTCTAGCCTTATGAAGGTTATTATGGTTTAAATTAAAAACATCCCCCAAAGGCTCACATGCTCAGAGGCAGGGCTTTGGGAAGGTGACTGGATTGCACTGGTGCTAACATCATCAATGGACTCATCTACTGCTTGACACCTAAAGGGACTGAGTTCATGGCTGAATAGATTGTTAGGAGCTGGGGCCTGGCTGGAGGAAGAAGGTCACTGGCTGAAGGAAGTAGGGAATGATACCTTGGAAGAGGGGTATAGCCAGTCTCTGGTCTCTGTCTCTCTCCTGTCCACCATGAGAAGTAACCACTTTGTTCCACCACATACCCTCACCATGATAACCATGGACTGAAACATCTGCAACCTTGAGCCAAAATAAACCCTTTCATTCTCCTTTATACTGTGCACATGATTTTTGGCCTAGTAAGGGAAAGCTGAGTAACAGAGGTGTAACTGTCAGGAGGGATCTGCAGGTGTTCAGAAGAGACATATGGGTGATGTAGTTTGGGTATGTGGATGTGGAGAGGGGATGACACAGATTCAGCTCTAGCCAGACATGGGGACACACACACCTAACTGTAGCACTCTGGGACGCCAAGGCAGGAGGATCATGAATTTGAGCCCAGCCTGGGCAACATAGTGACTCAGTGAGATCCTGTCTTAAAATTAAAAAAATTCAAAAGGGCTGGGGAATGTGGCTCAGTACAAAGGCCCAAGGTTAATTTCTAGTACCATTACTTAAAAAGCAAAAAACAAAAAACAAAAAACAGATTCTGCTCAAGTATCAAGGGAACAGCAACAAGAGTTGACAACATGGGTCAAAAGAAAGTTCCAGAAACTTCAAAGAATTAAAAGCACATTAGTGTAGCTAAACTAAAAAACACTAATAAAAAGGTCACTAGAAAAATTTGTGCTCTTCAAATCATAATGGGAATAACAAACTATTTTGAGATGAAGAATAGCGAAAATGCTATGTATTGAAACTTTTGCAATGCAGTTAGAGGGAATTCAACAGCCTGAATGTAGTAACCAACAGACTACACATCATAAGAAACTGTCCAGAACAAGATTAAGCCAAAGACAAAAGGAAAGAAATAAAAAAAGGAAATTAATTAAGCATACAATAAAGAATATTATCAAAGTTCTTGGGAAAGGCCAATACAGTCTATAAATCACTAAGGAGACGGGGGAGGGATCACCAATAACTAATATCTGGAAAGAATAAGAAGACAAATCCTACAAACTGTAAAAACAAAAGCTATTACGAGCAATTATATGGCAACTGATTTGAAACTTTAGGTAAGTTCAGTGGAGAAGTAGCAATTGCTAGGAAAGCAGAACTTCACAAGACTGTCAAGAAAACAGAAAATCCAAATGACCTTAAAACTGTAGAAGGAACCAAATCCCTAATGAAAACCTTCCCTTCCAGGGACAAACAGATGTGCAACAAATATAGTAAAATGTCAACCAAACATAGCGTAGGTCGGCACTGCAGATTTTCAACTTGTGTGTTCAAAATTTTTCAAAGCAAAAGCTCATGGATGGATGTCTCCCACACTAACAACAACAAAATACCACAGCCCAGATAACTTTACCTAAGAACTTACTAAACATTTAAGGTGGAAATAACCCCAATATTTAACAAACTCCTCCAATGAGTCCTGACATGAGAATGCACACCGTCAAGATGTGACAGCAACTCCTTGCCCTCCCGCTTGCTGGCTGCCTGCATGGGAGCCAAATCCTGCTGCTGGCTGCTATGAGAAGGTGATGTATGTGCACTCTCGCTCCCTTCACCAGCCTGGGGGCAGACGGAGCACAGGTGGCGATGTGTCCGACCCCCAAGGCGAGGCTACCTGCCAGCTGTGGGCTGCAAGGCTCAGGTTGCCCAGGCTGAGGCCTCTGCGGTAGCTAAGCTTTAACGTCACAGTCCCAGCGTAGTCTGTGCCCTCCACCTGCTGGGGACCACAGGCAAGTCATTGCCTCCCACTGTATAAGAGCAGAAAGCCTAACTTGAAGGACTGTGGTCAAACTCTGATCATGAAGGCAAAGCACCGGCATGCAGGATGCCAGCAACTACTTTCAGCCACAATGCCCACTGCCCCGCGCCCCGGCAGAGCCGTACCGCCTGTACTCACAGCCCGCACCTCGCTGGGGGCCTCCATGCCGTGCAGCTTTTGCGTCTGCTTTAGCTGGTTGAGCGTGGGCTTCAGCTGCGCTGCCCCCACCGTCTTGGTCGTCCACTCATCCACCAGCTTGTGCAGGTCGTCGGTGAAGGTCCCTTTCTTGTTGTTGCTGTTGTTCACCTGCGCCTGGATATGCAGGGTGGGCTGGGGACCCGGCTCGGGGCCTGGGGCCAGGCTGCTGGTGGAGGACCCTAGGGAGTCACATACAGGCCAGGATTGGTGATGCCACACACTCGCCCAGCACCACTATTGGGCTGGCTTCTGTCATTTTTATGTGAGGGCCAAGAAAATGGCCTCACTTCTGTCAGGTAACACCTTGCTTCAAGAGGTGGTCGGGATCACAGGGCCTCGCTGCCCAGTTTTAGCCACGGTAGGGCATTTCCACGGCTGTGAGTGCCCTGGCTATGCCAGTTGGCTATCACCCATCTCATAAGATAGGCCAGGGGACAGAACCCACACAGCTGGAAGCCTCCGTTCAGAATTCTCTCTGTGCTCACCTCTGCCATCCCACCAGAGTCACAGCACTGGTGTCCCAGGGAGAGTGTTCGATTCCTTGGGCTCTATCTGGCCTCCGCATCCTCAGGGTAAAAGGAAGCAAAGCAGAGGCCGGAACACTTGGCAGGGTGCTCAGCACCCCCAAGCAGCCTGCATGATTTGCACTCGCACGAGTGAATTTTAATGCTCTAGTGTTTGGAATTCAAAACCAGACCACAGCACTTCCCTTACCAGAGCACCTGGGGAAGAACAGAGAGCCGTGAAGAGGCTCCACCTGCTCAGGCTGGCTGCTGTACAGAGGTGGGAGCCTGGAGCCCCATGCTCATCAGCTGCATTCAAAGTTTTTTTTAAAATGATGTACGCAAGGGTTTTAAATTTTTTTTTTTTAAATTATCTCTTCCTTCCTTCTCCCCTACATACATCATTTCTAGTTGGCAATTTTGAACAAGCCGATTTAAAAGTTTTTTTCTGCACTAATAAAAACGCTACCAAAAACTAATGACCATCTCTTCAAACAAGCTGCTCTGAAATGTAGTACACTTTAGTGGCTAGCGATGACAAGGCAGGGACACAAACGACTGGAGATTAGTGATGGGATTTTATACACAGAGCTATTTCTACATGAAAACTTCAGCCAGGAAAGAAAAACAAAACTTTGAAAAAATTTTAAAAAGGAGCAAGAGGGAGAGAAAGAGAGAGGGGGAGAGAGAGAGAAGAGAAGAAAAGATGAGAGAGGTGTGAGTGGCCCAGGTAGACTAATACCCATTCGGTCCTCGTATCTCTCCTCGGGGGAAGCACTCATCTTTAGCACTTCAAAGAAATACTGATTCCTACGGTTTTGGAAAAGGAGCCAATTAATGAATGGTAATTTGTGGACGTTCCAGAGAAGGACAAGCCTGTTAGATGTTAACTGGCGAGGCCGCACAAACTCTAGGAGCCATGGAGACACAAAGGGAGCTACAGGCAGCTACCCTGCCAGGCAGAAGCGAAGCAGAGCCCGCGGGGCGGGCTCAGAGCACGCCACCCTGCTGCGCACTAGCCATGAGAAAGCCCATGCGATGAGAGGGGACAAAGGAGGTAAAAAACCCAGATAATTACTACTGCTGTGTTCTTTGCCTAGGCAGAGACGCTTCAGGGCTGACCCTGTAAGGGAAAAACAAACGACACAAGACCACAGGGTTAGGCAGAACGGAACACACCAGTCACGCTACCACACTTAAGCAGAGTTGTCAGTGTGCGGGGAGGGACAGACACAGGCAGCAGTTCGGAGGAGGGCTGGCCCGGCCTGGGCTAACGGGGTTGGCGCCCCCAGAGTTAGTGTGCAGGCTCTCACAGGCTTCGCTGAGGAGGCAGAGGTGCCAGGGCAAATCCCCAAGCTTCGGGAGAAGTGTTTGTCTCTAGAAGCATATTCCAGAAAAAGAAAAAGAGAAAGAAAAAAGAAAAGCAAAAAAAAAAAAAAAAAAAGGAAAAGAAAAGGAAAGAAAAAAACTAAAAGCAAAGCACACCCCTTGGCTCTGAAGAGCCAGGCTTTGGGGAGCACTACCAACTGAGGCAGGAAAACCCACGGAGTCAGCCATAAGGCCTCCAACGGGAGCTGGGCACTGCCTGGGCTGGCCGGCAGCCGAGCCCAGTGGAGGTTTCCCAAGTGCAAAAAGATACATTGTTTTGCAGGTCGTAGGCCAATTTTGCATCCCAGATGGCTGCTGTGGATGAGGTCAGACAGGGGTATCAGGCAGTGACACGGGAGGGCTAACTGATTCTGGGGTGCACTGCTGCCTCTTCTGTAAAAGTCTGTTTCCCTGCTGGGACAGGGCGAGGCCTCCTTGTTTCTGGAGCACACTAAGCGGATCTGTCCCCACTGTCCAGAGGCAGCCTGGTGTCTCTCAGGCAGGGAAGACACTGAAAGCAACATCGGGCAGAGCCTGCAGGCAGGGGACCTGAGGCTGGCCAGGAGCTACGCTGAGGTCCTGCCACTCCAGCTCACCCTACAGCTTCCCAGGAAGCTGAGACTATGACATGGGCGAGCTCAGACGTCCCCAAGGTCACTCAGCAAAGCCATCCTAGAACTGAGGATCTGCACTGCAGCCGACAGCGCCCCACACCAGGGCACTTTCCCGCCTATGCAGCACCAAGCTCCCAGGAAGGGGCGTGTGCTCGGCACCATTCCCTGAGGCTGGGAACATCTGGGGACCTGGAAAACCTGGGAACATCAGCCTTCCCTCTACTCCTTGGGAGACAGCGTGCAAATGGTGGCCAGGATCCCCAGCCGAGCTCAGTGTATACCAGATTCAAAACCCAGCTCACATAGATTTGACCGACTTACTTCACCCTATATAATCTCTGGGCCTACCATAGTGAAAGTGAGGCCATGTGCTGCTGGAGTCTTTAGTAAACAAAAAGAAAGGAGCAGGAGGGATTCAGACAGATCCTTCAGGATAAGAAAGGTAGAGCCACCTCTTTTTCTGGTCCACTTTTGAGACAAAGTGTTGTCTTCTGCATAAGGCTGGGGGCCCTGGGGTCTGGCTGCGGCTTGGGCTGGAATCTCAAATGCAGGGCATTGGGAGGGCACCAGTGTTCCCCAGGCTTTTTGTGGGGTCGCACCTGTCTGGGCTGCCACAGTCCCACAGGAACAGCCCTAGGACAGACAGACCGGACCTCTCCAGGTCCCCACAGCTGGGCTGCAACAGGTGCTTTAGAGAAAGGCACTGGCACCCACCTGGCAACTCATGGAGTGATTGGAAGCTCTGTGTTCTGGGTTTGTTCTTGGCTATTATCATTCTGGGAAGAACACCAGATGGGCCAGCTGCCAACTGGTCCTCCTGTTCTTGGGCCCCAGGTGACCACAGCACAGCTGGCGCCCATGCTCTGGCCTCCTGGACTCTGTCCCCAGGTGACTCCACAGATCCCTCAGTGTGGCCCCCTGACACCAAAGCTCCACTCTGCAGCACTGAGACAAGGGCCCCAGGGCACAGCAACCTCCTGGTGGGGCAGGGACCTATGGCTCCTTTGGGACAGCACTGCCCCACCGTCGGCTCTTACTCCACCTCTCCAGAGCATCTCCGCCCTTGTCTGGGCCCTGCTGTGCACACGCTCGCTGGAGGGTGTCTGTGGGAGAAGCTCCCGCTAGATCCCCCACGGCAGCAAGGCAAAGATGCCTCCTGGTGCACGACAGGTTTAACAAGGGCTCATCCTGGTCTCCTTGGGGAACTGCTCCACCCTGCATTACACTAGGGCACAAAGCACACACTGCTCCTTCCGCAGCCTCCCCCTTCTGCAGCTCCAGCGCCCACCAACATTCGGGCCCTTGGCAGGCAGTGAGGACACCTCCAGCCTGAAGGACTCAGCGCTAAGGATGTCTGACTAGGGCACGGGGTTTAAAAAGTGGGTCAGGCCTGGAGCATTTCCTCACATGTGCTTTTTATATCTCAGTGTTCAAAAACTGACAAAGTTCACAGGAACAGCAGGAGCAGGAGTGCCCACACAGACCCCATGGGTCAGCCCTCCTGGTACCAGGCGGCTCAGAGCCTGCATCTGACTTCTCACCCCTCTCAGGACCTCCAGGGGCCGCCCTGACCCAACAGGATGTCAGCAGCCCTGTGCCAGCATCCAGGGTCAAACACCTTTCAGGCTATCTCTGCATCATGCATTCACATTCTCAAGCTGAGAGAATTGCCAAATTGCCTGTGAAGCTCAATTTGGAAACAAGGACATGCCTTGGTCCTGCAAGGGGCGGTCAGGGGACACTTTTACCTCATCCTGGGCTGCATGGCGTTGGGTCCCCAAGGGCCTGCCTTTAGACAGTTGAACTAGCACCTGCTCCCTACCAGAGGGGGATGAGAACACCCCAACGTGCAGAGGGGCGGGGAGGCTGGGAGGGCCCCAGGGTGTCTCTGACCCAAACTGGATGCAAACAAGGGACAAGAAGACAGCGTGAGCCTCCACAGGTCCTGCGTGCTGAGAAAGGCCCAGAAAGTGCCAGTGCTCGCCTGGTCAGGGGGCGGCTACAAAAGAAGGCCATCCAGGGAGCATGGCCACAGCTTCTGACCAACAGAACCACCAGTGCTGCCTAAGGTTCTGGACCCCTCCTTTTGGGCTCCTTCAGGACACACACGGTCGCCAAGCTCCTCCACAAGGAGGAGTTGCTGCCCTCTCTCAACCTACTTCAGCTGCTCCTCTGGGGTCCTTTCTGCCTCTGGAGCCCCCACAAGGCCAGACAGAACCCTGCTCACCACCTGGCCTGCCCACACCATCCTGTCTGGGGCTGTTTTTTCTCTGAGCTTCATGAAAGTCGACATCTTTCTGCATGTCAAAATTTAAAGTGCAGTTTGTTTTCCTGGAGCCTCTTCTCTCCCAGGAAGTGGGAATGTCAAGCACTGCAGCAGCAAACCCCGAAGTCTAAGCTGTGTCAAGCTAGTGCTGGACGGGCCTGCTGCCCCTTCCCTGCCACACCTCAGGCTCTAGCCACTCCATTCGTTGCAGTCACTCCTGATAGCACGACCACCTGACCCGCAGCCCCATGGCCATGCAGGGCTAGCATCTTCCACAGTCACCTACTCATGCCGCCCCACTCCAAGTGGGGACAGTTCCTCCTCCCAACCTCCCACTGCTGCCGTCCTCGTGCACTCATGGGGCTTTGGTTTTTCCTCCAGTCCCCTACCTGTAATGCTTGGTCCCCACACACCTCACCGCCGCCCTCTCCCCTCCTGAGGGCTCCCCTGCTGGAGCTAGGAGATAGACGGAGGACTCAGTGAGAAGCCCAACCCTACAGTCCAGAGGCCAGTAGCAAAGGGGACGGGGCCCTTCCAGGGGCACCTCTACAGGGCAGCAGGGGCAGACGAGTGACCGAGCTGTTACTTTCCCAGTCCATGTGCTGTAGTGGGAACAGGCACCCACCTGGGCTCTGCCTGACCTGCCGTGTGGGGCTAAACTGGCCACACATGAAAGAGGCAGGGCTGTGGCTCAAGCACAAGGCCTGTGGGACTCGTGAGGCCTGGGCGGGCACCACATGCCACACCTGAAGCCAATCTGCCAACTTGCCTCAGACAGTCCATCCTCCTGGCCACTGGATTTTTGTCTGTGCTGTGCTTCATTTTTAATTCTTAAATCTTGGACCAATGACTCAGTATAACCAATGAAAGCCTTTAAATACGAGCTTGGGTAGAGCAGCAGTCCTGACCTCAGAGGCACCACCACAGCACTTCACCTCACACACAGTGGGAAAGCTCGGCCAGCAGTTGCTCTGGGGGTACGAGACATCCAAAGATCCAGGTGTCCTTACCCTGGGGATGAGCCTGGCAAAAGCAGCCCATGTGCCAGGGACAGCAAGAAAGCATCCTGGCGAGTAGGGACCAGGATGGGGCCAGCCTGCTGGAAAGATGGGACAACACGCAGAGAACGCCCTCCAGACCCCTCCCCAACTCACTCAGCAATTGACCAGAAGCCTGACAGACACGCCACTAGCCGGATGCTAGTGACTGCTAGTGGCTCAAACAAGATAGCCTACTACATGGACAGAAAGCCACTGGAAGTCCCTGACAGTGCCATGAGGCCCTGGGCCCTCGCCCTGTCCCACCTGGAGAGTGGCAGCCCACATGGGTCTCTGATGGAGGTGGTGGTGGGGTAATGGCAATGGTCGCTTACTACAGATGTGGCCTCTGGGTCCCCACAAACACAATGTATCTTTATTGTACAAACAAAAAGTTATGTGCCCCAGACCAGCATCTCCAATCCAAATGCCAAAAAGCTGCATGTTTCTGTTTAAAAGACAAAAACCTAAAACTCCACAGCTTGGCTACGGGGGCCAACCTCTGTGAGGGTTAAAAACATACTGCACCATGGTGGGTGGCCAAGCTGGTGTGCCCTCCCAGGAGCGAGTCCCAGGGTCTCAGACCAGAGTGGAACTGGGTTTGGTTCTGGTGGAGCTTGGAGGAGCTGCGTCACTGACTCCCTCCCTGACATCCCATGGGTCATCAGGAAACACAGCGAGCAAAGTGCTCCAGCTGGATGGCAGGGGACAAGGGCCAGGCAGGACACCGCTCCAAAGGAAGAGCCTCAGGGTAAGACAACAGTTTCATCTCTCAGAGCTGGACTGAGCAGATTATAGAGGGGGTTGCATTTCAGTGCAGGGAAGCCCCAGGTTTTTTCCCCTTCTTGTAGTGCTGGGATTGAACCCAGGGTTTTGCACATGCTAGGCAAGTGTTCTACCACTCAGCTAGACCTCAGTTCCTGGGACCAGTTTTTAGCATCTCCGTATATGAGCATGGGGATGGTGGGTGGTTATAGGGCTGGATACTGGGCCTGGGCCTCTGCATGAGGTCACACCCTGCAGGGGTCTTCAGGGCAGTGTTGGTCACTACATGTATGCTCCCGGAGCCCAGACACATGTGCAGCATACCATGTATCTAGAGAAGGTTGGGGTTGTCTTTTTGTTGTCTCTGGAATTGGGGGACAGCAGACAGGTATACTGGCCACAATTACAACAGAAAAGAAAACTATATCCAACATAAAAAAAATTAAATAAATGAGGTGACGGAAGGAATGCAGAAGGCCCTCGCACGTGTGGGTGGGTGGAGGGGCCTGGGTGGAGGCGGGCGCACCGCTGCACATGCTTTTGGTGCCCGGACGCAGCCAAGAGCATGCACACAGCCATCGGGGCTGGGGTGGGCACAGACAGTGGCATTCAGCAGGAAGGACTCCTGGGGTCCACCTTTCCTATTGAGGGGTGACTTCCAGGGGCTGGGGGGGCATCCTATGAAATGTATGAGAGGAAATGAAGACAGGGAGTGGGGAGGGGAAAACCAAGGGCTGGGAGGTGGGAAAATACAAAAGAACAAATACAGACAGATGGACACAGATACGGGTCCACTGAGGAATCGAGCACGAGGCTTGCTACTAGACTTATAGGCCCCTCTCTCAGACGTTGGGTGGTAAACCGTCCAGCCTGCAAATGAATATAAAGGGAAGAAAACAGAGAGACACTCATCAAGTATAGGTTGCTGCGATTCCTCCTCCACACCAACAGCCACACCAGCCTTGCAACTAACCATCCACGGCTCCACCTAGCCCAGCCCGAGCACCACAGCCACTGACCATGGAATGGGAAGGAGGCAACGGGAGGAACAGAAGAGAAGCGGCCCAGAGGAAAGGGGTGGGGCACCTGCCTGGGTCACCATGATTTCTCTGGACAGAGATGGTGAGGACAGGAGAGCGCCTTATTGAGCAGCCGCTGCCGTCCATGGCAGTGTTGATGTGACAGCATTTCCTCCTCGGGGCCAAACTCCCAGCTGCAGAGCTGAGCCCTCGTCCCCCAGCGTCCCCTGGACTGTGGAAGGACCTGGTGTTTAGCACCATCAGGCTCCGCTGCAGGGCAGCCGGTGCCTAGGAATGGGTGCCACAGGCCACAGGGAGATGCCAGGCCCATCCCGTCCCTGGTCATCAGGCTGACCCCTCCCGGTCCTGGCCACCTCCCCAAGGCCCGTTCTAACAAAGCCATCACCTGCCTCTGAGCTGCTTACAGCAAGACCTGGTGATGAGGGGACAATTTTCTTCTTGCATCCAAAGACTGTATCTTTTCTTTTGCTTTTTTAAAAAAAATTTTTGCAAAGCTGCTCAGCAGCCTTGGCTGCACTCTGACCCCCTTGACACACATGGGCGTGCTCCTGGGACACCACTGAGGCCCTATGTGGCTGGCACATGCTCGGAGACAGGCAAGCTGGAAATCACCTTGGCCACGCGCTCCGCCTCCGTCACTGGCTAAGCCGGAGCAGATGTCTGTGGACAGGGAGGCTCGGACGGAGCAGGGCTGCTGGGTCTGAACTGCCTTCGCACACGGGGGCGTGCTGGCGTGGGCAGGGTCCTTATCGGGAGGGCCTCTGCTGGAGTCAGACAAGTGACCTGGGCGGGGAGGGGAGAAGAGGCGACATGCACCATGAGGTGCCGCCAGGCAGGGGTGGGCACGGGCTGGGTCTGTTCTCTGCTCTTTGCTGGGTGACCCTGGGGAAGTGTGGAGTCTTCTATAGACAGCTGGCACATGGCTGGCCCATCTCCTGGATGGGGACGTTGAGAACAATCAAAGAAAGTGGTCCCTCTCTACTGATACCCAATGCTATGCCGGACTTGGGACCTGTCCCGTGAATAAGTGACAAGCTCACACATGGGCTCAAAGTGGCTTGTGGACCTTACTGTAATGAGTGTCCCTCAGCTCTGGGACTTGGTACTGAATCTGGATAACTTATGCAACTTATAGGTGGCTTGCAGTTAGTGAGTGTTTGTGCTTAACTCACCAGTGCCTTCCTGCCTGGCACATCTGGGGACTTGGGTTCATGGGATTTCCACCCCAGATTGCTGGGGCTGCTGGCCAGTGTATACCTTGCAGTGCCACTCACGATGATCAAAGGAACCCCTGATTGCATGGATGCTACCCAGAGCCAGGCTGGAGCAGCCCCAGGTACTAGATGGTACCCTCACAAGTCTAGGAGGACAACACCGTCATCTTCTCACCCAAAGGCATGTGCCTGAGATATAGGTCAGAGGAAGCAGCCACCTCTGTCCCAGGCTGCATCTTGCAGAGATGAACAGGTGGGAAGAATGATCTTGGGTGCCCTGGCACACCCACAGACCAGGGGTGGTTGAGGATACACCCTTTGCACTCAGGGCTGAGGCCTGGCTCCAAGCACCACACACTGAGGTCCAGGGCCTCCCAGGGCCCACAGTCATCTCACAGCTCCAGTGAGAGGATCCAGAAAGAAAACTCCAGATGCTCTTCCAGGTCTGGGGATGTCACATCTGCACAGAGCCTACCTCCCAGGCACCCTCAGGGTCCCCCACCTCCTCCCAGCCAGCCCCAGCACAGCCCACCTCCCAACGGGCCGACCTGTGCTAGAGGCCACGACCTTGAGCTGCTGCACCAGCGGGTTGAGCAGCTTGCCAGCCTTCAATTTGCCCTTGCTGGTTTTTCTCCGGCGGCCAGTCGGGGGCGCCGTGTGGAAGAAGCCCACACTGGGTGGAAGTGGCTTGCCCAGGCGGCGGTACAGAGCCTCAATCTCCTGCTTCTGCTGGCTCTGCAGCTCCGAGATCTCCTTCAGGTGCCTGGGGAGGAGGAGAGAGGAGGCAGGGCAGGTGGGCTTCCCCTGCAGGTGGGGCTGGCAGTGGGGAGAGAGGTAACATAGGGTTGGCAGCCATGTCTGCATCTCCTCGGGGGCCACTTAGGGGCATTAGATGGCACTGTCTGGTTATATGTAAACCAGGCAGGTGTAAGACCAAGGGCCTCTGGCACTGATACACTAAACACAGCTGCGCTAACGGTCTTCATTTTCAGTTACTCAGAATCCTCACTGCTGCACTGTCTTTATGGCCAGGGAGCCCAGGGGACTCGACCTGTATCCTTATGCTTACAATGAAAGCCACACGCACAAGCACAGGTGAAGAGAAAGTCAGCTGGTGCTCTGAACCCAAGGGTTGCCTTATCAGGCCAGTATGTGTGGTTTGCTCTGAGCATGGCAGCTGAGGGTGTGGGGAAGGTGTCTCAGGTGAGGGCTGCTGCTACACAAGCGAGCTAAGACAGTCCTGGCCAGGGGCCAAGCTGAACACTACCCTGCGGGGTCCACTGTGGCGGGTCTTGGTAAAGATCAGGCGGAATGTGGCTGGATCACTGGGCATGGGCAAGGGTGGACTCTAGGGCTGCTGGGAGGGGCAGCGGTCCCCAGCTGGGACTCCCTATTCATACTGCAGGGGGACTCCCTTGCTGGCCTCTGGCACCCTGCACTTTGGAAGTCTGACGCTACCCCTGTGGTACCCAGCCAGCCCAAATGGGGCCACAGCTCCTCACCTCCCTGCCCAGCCATTTCCTCCACCTTTTATGCTGGGAAAGCAGATGGTTTTCATGGTTAGAAGTGAGGAAGCAAGTTCTGACCTCTGCTAATACCAAACAAAAAACTAACCCTTTCTTTGCTTTGAAAAATCCCTAGATTCTAAAGAATTAAGGTATAGATTCTTAATCTCCTGTGTCTTTAACACCTGCAACATATGTTTGAGAAAGAAAGGCCTTCTTTAGCTATTAAAAATAATAAATAAAAATAATAAATCACAAAGTGGCTTTCTCCCTACAAACAGCAGGGAGTGACAAACTGCTGTGTGCGTGGGGTTTGCATGAGGCTGGCTGCCTGTGGTGGTGGTGGTGTGGTGGGTGCTGGGCCACCAGAGGGGGCCTCTTACTCAGGATCTCAGGTCAGAGCTCTGTGTCCCCAGAGTCCTGCTGCTGCTGCCCTGCTAGCCCTACACATGGGCTGCACCAGTGCTCAGGGCCCAGGAGTCTCAGGCATCTGAAATCACAGCCTGGGCTGAGTCTGAAGTCCCCGCGCAGGTGTCAGACACTGTGAGGCCCAGACAGTAAGACGGCCACTCTCAGGCAAGAGAGGCTTGGAAATGACTGGCTGCTTCCCAGCAGATATCAGTAGGTCCTCAATTCTAGACTGAGGTCCAAATTCTCTCCCATCCCTTCCTAAACTACCTCTTTCCACTGGGCTCCATGGCCCTCTCAGATCAATTTCCCCCTTCCCTGCAGTTCCTCAGTCCCTTGGACTTCCTTTTTCCATCCTATTGCCTCCCCCTTACTCTAGACCCTACCATACGCCATGGGACTCTAGGACCCCTCCCCTGGCACCCAGCCTGTCTCACTCAGGTACAGGCTTTCAGCTGGGCTCTGCTCCAGGACAGTCTCGTATCCAATGCTCTCCTTGCCTGATGACTGCTGGCTCCCCGGGGAAAATCCCATTTCAAGCCCCTTCCTCTGCCCCAAAGGTTGGTGCTGGACCCTCTCACCTGAATGAAAGCTCTACTGGGAGGTGTAGCCCCTGGAGGCGACTTCTGAGAGCCTGATTCCAGCAGCCTGTCACAATCCCTGCCTTCCTTCCTCCCCCAGGCTACACCCCCCATCTTTCTGCCCTTTCACAACTTGGGTGGTTCTCAAAGCTCCCTGGTAAAGCCTGAAAACAAGGCTCCTCCTACGCGCATCTTTGGTTTCTGAGCCGGGTCATGCAGAACTGGGCACACAGGCTGTTCCACAGGCACTGTGCAGTCCCACCAGCCACATCCCAGGAGCTGCACGGTTGGGCTCCCCTCCTGCCCCAAAGCACATCTGTGAGTAGCAGTCCCCCTGACTATGGAGAAGAATGGCCGGCATAGTGAAGCACAGTCACAGAGACAGAGACACAGACACAGAGTGAACGGGTGGCAAAGGAAGAAGTCTGGCCCATTAAGGGAGGAGTGGCCCTCGGAAAAGCCAGGAAACAGGAGCCAGCAGAGCGGGCTGCCTGCCATGGAGGACACCCTGAAAGGAGGCTTCTGCTCATGGCCACAGGGAAGGGTGTATGTGGGCCTTGTCACAGCCCTGTCGCCTTGACCAGCTGCTGTGAGCGGACCTCAACCCACACCCCAACATGTTTCCCACGGCCCCGCCTGGCCAGTGAGCCCCACAACATACTTCTCCCGCAGACTGCGGAGCTCCTTCTTGATGTCAGCGTCCTCAAACTCTGAGTCGTTGTCGCTGCTGATGTAGGATGACTGGGAGTGGAAGGAGGTGACGCTGATGGTGGGGACCTTCACACTCGCCCTGCTGGGTGTCTCGGGGTCCAGGGACTCGGCCCTGGAGGACCTGTGCAGGAAGGCCGTGGCCTTCTTCACCAAGTCACTGGCCACACCTCCACTACCAGGCAGGGAGGACTGCTTCGGCACTGGGGGCCTCCTCCGCAGGCACTCATCTCCAGAGTCACTGGATGCAGGCTCGCCCACACCGACCTCAATGGAGGAGGCCGTCTGCACCCGCCGCACAGCCAGCTTCACATCAGGGCTGGAGGGAACCTCGTCCAGGTAGACGTCAGGTGGGGCGGAGTACCTCAGGCTGTGCGGGGAGGCCAGCGTCCACTCATCCTGTGAGCTCACCACTGAGAAACGGCCCACAGTCTTGGCTGATGAGCTGCCCTCCTGCTGCCCTGGCTGCTTCCTCGGGGACCCCAAAGCCCGAGTGCCATGTGTCTGAGGGCAGCTGAGCTGGCCGCCTTCTGTGACTGCCCCTGGGTGGCTCTGCATGGGCTCTTCTGAGGCTTCCCGGGGAACTCTGCCATTTTGGTCTGTGGGCCGTGCGCATGCAGGGCTTGCAGAAGCAGGGATGGCCTTGGGAAACAAGCAGGAAAGAAGGGATCCCATGAGAACACCAGCTGAAAGCGAACCCCAACTGGCCAGTCGCGTGTCAAAAACGTCACTTACCTGGTGGGCACTGGGTACTGCGGGCAAGTCTGAGGCCACCTGTCCCCCATCACTGTCACAGCCCAATGTGTTGCTGGAAGAAGACTCTGCTGTGGGAACACCAGCAATGTCATGGGGCTGCTGGACAAGGAAGAGACCCACACTGGGCAGGAAAAGGGAGTTGGCAATCACAGGGGCTACTGTACTTTCAAACCCCAAAATACCACACAACGCCCTAGCTCCAGGCATGCGGTGCATGTCACTTCATGGAAGACACCTACAACCTGGAGCACAGCAGGGGTGTGCGCTGGAGCCCAACTGTGCAGCCAGGCCTTTCCACACCACTGATGACACCACATTTCCCCAGATGCCTTTCCCCTTTAAGAGGAACTCATGGGGCAGAAGGTGGGGCCCATTCCCCACACTGCTCCTGTGGTGTCTTGGAAATGCCCACTGCACCTGCAGCTGTCCCTGTTCTTCATCTGCAGAACGCCGGGGTAGCGGGGCGTTCTGGCCAGCTCTCTTGAAGAGAGCCACAGAATCCCCGAGAGCTGATACCCCCATAGAGCAAAAGAAACTCACCAGCAGGCTGGGTTTAGGGTTAGGTTAGGGACGCCAAACTCCTGAGATACCCTGTCCAGTCCCTGACGAGTGTCCCCAACCTGTAGGCAACACTTGACTCTTTTCCTCATATCCCTGTGAGTAGCATCATCCAACCCATCTTTGTGCACACCCAGGGACATGGACTCACTATCAACTGCGCTCCCTCTGTTTCTGGACAGGTCTGACTGGTAGAAAAGCTCATCGGTTCTGATTGAGTCTGTCTCTTAGAGCTTCCCCTTGAGTTTGCAGTCTGGAAAGATTGTGGACTTTGGAATGCAAACTACACAGTCCACAGGTTATGAAAGCTGACTCCTCCTCATCTTCCTAGATGAGGTCGAGGGACAACTCTGACAATGGTCAGCAGGGACAAAGTGACAGGGTAGCTGGCAGGTGGCAGGGCTAGGCCTCTCCTGCTTCTGCCCCGTCCTCCACCTTCCCCAGGCTCCATACTGCTAGCTCCTTGTGTGCACAGTGTCAGACCGCACAGCCAATGGCCCAGCCCCTCACGGTGCTTGGCATCTGGAAATGCATGCAGCCATCCTGTGCAGCTGCAGGAGGAGCCAGCTGTTCTTTTCTCTGTGTGGGCACAGCCTGGAACTGCAGGGTCCCACCTGCAATTGATACAACCCAGGTCTATTTCCAGCATCTGGTGGACCCTGAATCTCACTTTGCCTGGTACCCAAGAAGGCTAGAAAGCATCTTGGCACCTTAGAAAGGAGTCAGTTCCCTTATGACAGAGACTCAGGCCATCAGATAAGGAAATAAGAACCAAAGCAGGAGTCTACACAGAGGTGCACTGAACTGGAGCCAGTCAGGGGTGATCCCAGTCAGGGATCTGCTGTTTCTGGGAGTTCCCGAACCCCAGCCCTATGCTATGCTCTGGCCAAAATAACGACTGTTCTGGGGCATTGCGAACCTTGCTGAAGCTCCGGGGCTGGGGACAACCACTGTGACTGCATGTTCAGGCGTGGGGACCCTCCCTACTGTGTCCCAGCATGTTCCCGTCCAGCTTTCACCAGTGCCCCAGACAGGATGTCCCCCTGAGGGGTATGAGCATGTTGTTCCTTCTAGAATTGTCTTGGGGGCTGGGTTGCACCTGAGTGCTCCCTAGGTGCTTGATCCTTTCATCACAAAGGGATCCTTCTGCACCTTAAAGCATCGAGGTGAGGGTGCAGAGGCTGGAGGCTCAGGACCCCAGGCAGCACTAGAACTCCACGAGTGCAGGGCCTGTGTGACCTCCAGCTCATTACCTGTTATTGGTGAAGAGGCACCCTGCTCCTGCTCCTGCTCCTGCTCCACTGGGCCCCATCCCATAGGGGCTGTCTCTGATTTCTCCAACTGTATGAGAAACAGTGCAGTGCCATGAGAGGGCTTGTCGACACCTCCGCAACTTCGCTGCAGTTCTGCTTCCCCTATGGAGCTGGAGCCCACTGCAGCCTGCCCACCTCCTTAGGCAGACAACTGGACTGGGCTGCCAGGTACTGCATGCATGACGCTGAACAGAGGTCACTGCACCTATTGCACAGGTGGGTCACTAAGAGGAGGTCAAATGTGGGACAAGGGTGGCCCTGCACAGCTGGGAGGCCTGACCACTCCCAACACAACCCACCCTGGGACCATCCTCTGGGGTCAATCTAGCTACTCACTGAGGGCTGGGGTGGCTGGGCAAGCTCTCCCGCCAAGGCCTCCCGCTGCGGCCCATCTCCTCTTGGGGGTTCCAGGGAGAAGTCTCTGTCGCCTGCCTCCACAGGGGTCCCGGCTGAGGCTGAGGAGGTAGGCACGTGCTCCTGGTAGAGCAGAGTCCGAAGCTTCTCATCCAGGCTCTTGATGGTGTTGTCCACGAAGCCCACCCTGGGGGGCGGCCCTTCCCCATCTGACTCCTGGGCCAAGGGTGGTGGTGGTGGGGCAGTGGGCCCCAGCGGGGGACTAGGGAGCTGAGGGGCAGCCAGGCCGATGGCCCCCACTGCGGTGGGGAGTGGAGGTGGTGGCTGACCCAGAGCAGGTTGCAGGGCCCCACTGGGGGGGCAGGGCCCTGGCACTACAGTAGGCTGCGGCTCCCCTGGGGTACTGACCTCCCTGTTTGAGGGGGGCTCCCCCAAACCTGTGGGACAACTGGAGACCTCTGGAGCTGAGGTGCAAGGGCCTGGGCCTGTGCTGAGGGGCTGCATGGCACGCTGGGCATCGTGCATCTCGGCCAGTGCCTGGGTGGTTTCGTGCTCACTGGCTGGCCCCTGAGAGGTTCCTTGACCCCCTGCCTGGACGGCAGTCTCTGCTGCTGGCTCTAGCATGGTGCTGGCTGGTGCTGCTGCATCTTGGGGCACCACAGTTATGGGAGGTGAGGGTGGTGCCAGAGGGGCTGGTAGGCCACCCGGAGGGTCACTGGGGCCTGTCTGACTCAGGCGCTGCTGGCCAGCTGGGAAGCTGGGTTGTTCCTTTAAAAACTGGTCTGTGTAGGGTGCTGGGTCTAGAAGAAATGGGAAAAATGCCTCAGAATCCAGCCACTCTGGTGATTTTCACCAGTTCCTCCCCTGTCCACAAAAATGCCTTCCTTACACAACGTAGCCGTGGCCCCGCCACACTGGACCCTGTCTGCCTGGCTGCTGCCTTTCCAGGATGCCCTCCATGGGCCTCTCATCTCCTGGTCTCAGCCCCAGTCAGGCCCCCTCAGGCTGCACCAGCACCACCCCTCACATATCTTCCTATGGCCCACGACTGTCAAGGCGTCCTCCTCCTTCTCATTCGAGTGTCCAGACCCTCCCCGCTAGGTGAGCTGCACCAGATATGGCTCTTGCCATCTTCCATTGGCCTCTTCAAAAATCTTCTCAATACATTTATAAAGTTAAGGTGTTTAGATGGTGAGCTGTAATACTTCTGTGCCAGGATGGGCAGGAACCCAAACTGTTCCCCTTCATCCAATTCCCAGTCAGGGGTAAGGTCAGAGCACAGTGCCCGGGCCAGCCAGGCACCAGCAGAGGACCCCAGGGCGGGTGGGGGGGTACTAGAGACCAAGCAAGAACACAAGGTCCAACAGCACCAGGGCCTTCAACATGCTCACAGGAACTGCAAGGACCTGAGAGGGGCAGAAGAGATGGTATTTGCCAAACCCACTCAGGTACAGGGCCCATTGTAAAAATAGCAAACCTTTTGTCCTTTTAACACGTGACCAGAAAATGCACAGGATATTAACTACAGGTATGCATTGTCTGCCACATCTCTAGAACTGACCTTGCATACCTGGCAGCTCCATTTTACTCTCTCTGAACCTATTTTAGACATCTCACAAGAAAGGCGGGCCAGAGACACAGATCAGTGCGAAGACCCATCTGTGACGGGCTGCACAGGGATGCGGGACAGTCATCCATCTCTGTGGCTGTTATGTGCACAGTACGTATGTACTCCCACCAGCAGAGTGAGCCATGTGGGAGAAGGGAATAAAACGAAGCCTATGTCAAGTTGGTACCAACTCAAGTGAGCAATCATTTATTTTGAAAACTTTGTTTTGAGATGAACTGCATTTCCTTCAAATGAAAAAATGAAGCTACTGTGCCACGGGCAGGACACTTTCTTACACACTTATATTGAGTGATCACAGCACTAGCTCTAGAACTTGGCCACAGACTGGAATCAATTGGGAGGGTTCAAAACAGGATGATACCAGGTCCAAGCTCCAGAAGTCCCAGACACAACTGTGTAAGGCAAGGCCTGGGCTTCTGCAGTCCTCCTGGCTTCCATCTTCCACGCCACCCTCCCAACACTGCACATATCCAGGCCAGAGGATCCTGAATAGAAATGATGGTAATGGGCATTTTTATCCTGTTCCCCATCTTAAAAGTGACATTCGGCATTTTAAAGAATATTTTCTGTTTTTCTTTTAACAAATACAATACTCTACTGAGATAATCATACTTCACCTTAACTTATAGTGAGTTAAAGGTGTGGAGGGTCAATATATAATTGGAGGGTCAATATATAATTGGAGATGTGCAGGTGAATCTTTAACAGATTCACCACATTATTTATTCAAATTAAGTTAAACCAAATGGATGTTCCAAAATCAATGCAACTTAGTCACCTCCTTTCATGGGATGCTGGTTAAATGTGCTACTATTTTGTAAAACTGTGGTAGTGATTAAAAGCCTTCTACATACATGATAAAACTGATAATTCTGTGATCTAAATCTTCTATATCCTTATTGATTTTGTCTTCCTGTTCTAAGTTTCCCACAGACTATAAAATCCTCTATTTCTTGTTTTTGTTGTTAATTTTCACTTGATTTATATTGAATCTATCAGCCAGATGTGGTGGCACATGCCTGTAATCCCAGCACTCGGGAGGCTGAGGTAGGAGGATCATTGCGAGTTCGAGGCCAGCCTGGGCTACATAAGTGAGTTCAAGGCCAGACTGAACTGCGTAGTGAGACTCTGTCTCAAAAAGACCAAAAAGAAAAAAAAAGAAAGAAAAAGAAAACTATATTAAATCTATCTATCTTATCAAACAGCCACAAATACTGAATTACTCTATCTTCCTAGTGAAGTGACTCTTTCATTATTATGTTTTTGCCTTAAAGTCTACTTTATCTAATGTGAAAATATGTACACTAGCTTTTTCAGGTTAGTATTTCATGGTCTCTTTTTTCCAATTATTTTACTTTTAACCTTTTATTATTTATTTTTTTCCTTACTTTTTACAATCTTTGAGAGCTAGCCCATTTACGTTTAATTAATGACCCATTTGGGTTAAAACTATCATCTTACCAAGGATTTCTGTGTTCTCCAAGTTTAACATTGCCTTTTCTCTTCCTTTCCCTTGCCTTGATTTTATTTTATTTTTAAAATTCCTTCCCCACCCTGCTCTTCCATCAAAAGTGTGGAAGATATCTATGATTTTGATTCTCACAGGAGTTATTCTATAGACAACAAATTCTTGATTTGGATCTTCCCAGACAATACAAGAACCCCAAAGTCCTTTAGGTCCAGTTCCCTCTCTCTGATAAATATGCCCATATTTTCCATGCATATTAGCATGTCGAAAGTATTTTAAACCTCAAAAGACATTTTCTTTTTGTAGTCAATATCCACTAAGATCTCCCCAACAGCTTTATAATCCCATTCATTTTATTCACCCCGGCATTCTGGTCATCTGTCCGAGGTCTAGAAATACTCCATTTGACACCTGTTAAGTTGAGATGTGCAGGTGATAAATCTATGTCTTTATTCCACCTTCCTTCGGTGGAACTTTGTCGCCAGGATTTGAGGCTGGTGCTTTCCTCCTCTGCACTCTGAGGACAGCAGATCCTTGTGTGTAAGTTGGGCACTGAGACACGCGTGTTCAAACCACTGCTGCCTTTTTTTAGAGACCTGTTTTTCTTCCTTTATCATCTTGTATTTTTTTCAAGTGTCTTTAGCTTTCAGTATTTTAAATACAATATATTTAAGTGTGGATTTTTTGCAAACTTTCAGAATTTAGAGGTTTCTTGAATTTCACTTTTCTGCATTATCTCCTCAAACATGTTTTGGTCTTATTCCTTTGCTTTCCGACACTCCAATTATATATTGACCCTCACACTGTAACTGCTCTATTTCTTAGCTCCTCGTTTCTAGTTTCTATTATCCTTATTTTATTTTAGATATTTTCTTTTTTTTTTTTTTTTTTGGTTTTTCTCCGGTATCGGGAACCGAACTCACGACCTTGCACTTGCCAGGCAGGCGCTTTTGCCGCTGAGCTAAATCCCCACCCCCTTAGATATTTTCTTTGACCTACCTTTTCGTTTACTAATTCTCTGTCCAACAATGCACAAACCATCTGTGGAGGTCTTCATCTTAACTACTGTATTCTTCAGTTTTAAAATCTCTATTTAGCTTTCTCTAAAAACAGTGTGCATTTCTTTGAAAAAAACTGCAATCTAGTCACTTAACACAGTAAGCAAGCATATCAGCTGTCTGATTGACTCTGCCATCTGAAACCTCTGAGGGATTGCTCTCTTGTTACTATTGTTTGGCTTTTTAAGAGCTTTATTGTAGTATGAGTATCATAGTAAGTTGTAGATATAGTTCTGTAAATTTTGACACAGGTATGCAAACAAACCATCAGCACGGACATTTCCTTGAGAACTTTTATCCATCCGTCCTTCCTCTTTCCTGCCAAACTTCTTTGCAGACAACTATTATTTGCTTTCACCCCTGCATTTTGTTTTCTAGTATTTTATATAAATGCATCACAGAGCACACATCTTCTTTTCATCTTACTTCATACAGCATAATTATTTTGAGAATCACACATACTAGAATGAGTATCACTAGTTGATTCCTTTTTATGGCACAGTAGGGTTATACTGTATAGATAAACTAGCATGCGTGTCTACTTCCTGATGGACACTTGGCTGTTTCCAGGTTCTAGTTGTCAGAAATAAAGCTACCACAAACATTCCATGTCTTTGTAAGGGCATCTGCATTAATTTCTTTTGAGTAAGACAATATACCCTCTGAATCTATTCATTTCACATCCATGGATCAAATTAACCATAAATAGGAAAAAAAAAAAGCATTTAAACTGCATTTGTGATAGACTTTTATCATTATTCTGCAAGTAACAGTATAACGACCATTTACAAAGCATAAAACATTTAAACTGCATTAATTATTACTAGTAATCTAGAGTTAAGAGAAGATGTGTGAAGATTACATGCAAATACAGTACTATACCTTCTACATAAAGGTCCTGAACAAACACAGATTCTGGTGTGGGGGTGGGGCAGGAGTCCTGGAACCAGCCTCAATGCAAAAAGATGACTATAAAATGTGGAGTCATTGGATCACATGGCACTTGTACGTTTACTTTTTAAAGAAGTTACCAAATGATGTAATTGTACCATTTTATACAGGGTGTAAGAGTTTTAGTTCCTTTACATCCTAACACTTGATCTTTTAAATTCCAGTTATTTTAAAAGGTGTTAAGTGTATCTGTGCTTTTAATTTGCATTTCCTGACTGAATGACCTTTTCATGTACTTGTTTGGCATCTGCATTGGTGATATATCTGTCTTTTCATTAGCTTATTTTCTTACTGTTATGTTTTGACAGTTCCTGATATTACCTGGATACAAATCCATGATCACATATATGCTTTATAAGTACCTTTGCCTAGTCTCTGGCTTGCCATTTCCTTCCCCTAAGATCTTTCAAGGAATACACATTTTAAATTTTGAGGAAATTAAATTAACCAATTTTTTTCTTTTACAGATCATGCTTTGGCGTTATATCTGAAATGTCTTGACCTAACCTAAAGTCTCCTAAATTTTCTACTACATATTTCACTGTTTTCATGGTTATATTTAGTTCTACATTCCATTTTTTTTTTTTTTTTTTTTTTTTTTTTTTTCCGGTACCAGGAATTGAACTCAAGACCTTGCGCTTGCCAGGCAGGCGCTGTGCCGCTGAGCTAAATCCCCAGCCCCTCTATTTTTTA